CTTTCCAGCCTGTCTCTGCTGCTGCCCATGAGCATCTTTGCGCTCAAGTTTCTCGAGTGGTGGCACGCCTCCGACTTTGCCAAGCAGCTGTCGCGCAAGGCGTCCGAGACGCTGGATCTCCCGCCCCCTGTGGTCTCGGGCTTGGGGGTCGGCAAGGGAGGAGCAGGTGCTGCCAGGAGCGGCGGCATCGAGACGGGCAAGGGCAAGGAGAAGGCGGTCAGCGGCGACGACGAGTCGGCGGACGCGGCTGTTCCGGCTGCTGAGACAGCGCCTATCGCGACGCCTTCGCTGCTGCCCATCTACACGGTCACTGCGCCCGAGGACTCTTCGCTGTGCCCCATCTGTGAGGATCCCATCGTCACGCCGACGGCGTGTCAGACGGGTATTGTGTACTGCTACACGTGTATTCACCGCTGGGTAGAGGGTCTGCATCCCATGCAGGAAGATTTCATGGGAGACAAGGAGGGAAAGTGGGAGAGCGGACAGGGGCGGTGTGCGGTCACTGGCCGACGCGTCCTGGGAGGCACGGAGGGGCTGAGGAGGATCATGGTGTAAGACTAGTGCGGCTGTCAGAGGGCATTTGGATCAATAGCTTTCCCTTGACGAGAAAGAGTCGGGGTGAGCGTTGATGGGAGGGATTGCTTAAAGGTGGTGGGCATAAGCCGAAAAAAGGCCACGGCGTTTGGGTCACGAACTTTGTCTTTTTTGTCGCTCGTATGCCATATCCACCATATGAATAATATACCCACTCATGATCTAGAGCATCTGTGTCGGGTTTTTTTTTTTTTTTTTTTTTTTTTTCCTGGCTCTGAGAATTTCGGAGGTGGAAAGCCGGGTGGAAGCAAGGGTCGGACTTGAAGAATGCGGGACTTGGAAAACCTCCACCGATTGGAATGGAGGGAAGGATGTCTCACATCGGGGCGGTGGTCCGGCCCCACGCCCACCCGATCCCTTTCTTCATGATCTGGCATTCGATACAAGTTTTCTGGGTGCACTTCTATTGAGTTTCACGTTTTTTTCACTCAAGTGTCGTTCAATTCTCTGGGCGGCACCTCCTGTCTCGCCGTCAAAATGTCTCGGTCTGCCGAGTCTGCCACGCTCGGAGGGTTTATGGGTAAGAGTATAACCTATGAAGGCAACTTTTTGACTGGAGCTAGCGATGCTTGCATTCCTCCTGTTTCCCCTTCTTTCTCTCGCCAAAGTTGCTCCCCTTCCTTGACTTTCTTCTTTTGGAGTGGATATTGCGTGGTTGGGCTTCTCGAAATGGATTACCTGCGTATTGAATTCTCTGTAGTCTCCCACCAGACCGGTCCAGCTTTCTTGTCCTTTTTTTGGTTTTCTGTCTCTCCAATGAGGTGTAGCCTGTAGAACTCGCTCTCTCGTCTGAGGCTCTGAGGAGCTACTCTTTGTGGAGAAGCAAACGTCACCTGTCCTAAACGGGCCTGCTTTGAGGAGGCTGGGAGGGAGATGGGGATCTCGAGAGCCCCCCCCCCTCCCCCCCAAGGGCTTGGGTTCCTTGGATAAGTCCTTGGCCCAGACGGCGGTCGAGCAATGCCATTCCTGACCGGACGTGAGGGCTGCGATGATGGTGGTGTGGTTCTCATGTGGAGGAGGGGCAGACTTGAAAATCCATTCGTCGAGGTTCGCATCTTTGGTGATTCTGTACCTGGATCAGTCGCAAGGGAGATGTTGACGAGCAAAGGGTTATAAAGAAACTACACGCCCTCTTTCTAAAGGGTCTCATGACATCTGGTCTCTGTTCGATCATTGAAACTGAGTCGTGGCGTTTTCTCTCACTCTCCTTCTCTCGATCTCTCTCTGTTTATCTGAATCAACCAGAGTCTCTCGTTGACGTGTGTATGCCCATCGGTTTCCGATCATCGATCACTGACGCACCAGACCTCTCTCGCTCTATTCCAGTTGTTTTAGGGTGGTCACTTATTACACTCTCTTGAATCCGGTGACGCGACAATCAAGGCAACAAAAAAAAAACTGCAGAAGACACGAAAGAGGGTGTAAAGGAACAGTAGGAGAGGAAGGGAAAGAAAGAAAGAGAGAAGCCAACATGGCGTACAGCTTATCGCAGTCGTACTTTGGTGCGAACCTGATTTCAGACTTCAACTTTATCAACTATGCCGACCCGTCCAACGGCTTCGTAAGGTACGTCTTTTTTCCCCTGCTCACAGACATCGTCCTCCATCCTGTTATTTCTGAATAGATGAACTGACGGCAAGGACGTTGTACAAAATCACAGATACCAGAGTCAGCCCGACGCCCTCTCAAAGGGCCTCTACTTCATCGACCCGGACACGCAGGCCGTGACGCTGGGCGTGGACAACAAGAACACGTACGGTCTGAGCGACGGCCGGCCGAGCTTGAGGCTGGAGAGTAAGAGGCAGTATAATCATGGCCTCTTTATCGGTGATTTCGCGCACATGCCGCCGTCGGTTTGCGGGTTGTGGCCTGCGTGTAAGTTGTATTTTCTCCTCTTTTTGGTTTATGCATCTTTGGCGAGTTTTTGAGGGGGAGTCAGACTCGTTGAAGATGTATCATCTTACCTCTGTTGGCTCGATAGCTGACACTGAATTTTGGGTAGTCTGGATGTATGGACCGGACTGGCCTACAAGCGGAGAGATTGATATCATTGAGGGCGCGAACCAGGCTACGAAGAACATCATTTCTGGACACTCGTGAGTCTTGTCATCTACCCACACCATACTAAATTATCGGCTCTAAAACAACAAACCTAGCACATCCGGATGCCGTATCCCAGACTCCCCCGCAGCTGCCGGCCAACCTCTCCTTCTCGATTGCGAAAGCCCAGGTGTACGTAACCCTCTCAATGAAGCCCCCCCCCCCCCGTCTCTCTCCTCTTCGTCCTTTGGTGATGTGTGATTGTATCTTCTCTCGCTAATAATGCACCAAAAACAAGACCACCAACAACGCTGGCTGCAACTACCTGCCCCCGGCCTCGGACACGCACACCTACGGTGACGCCTTCAATGCCGTCGGCGGCGGCGTCTACGCTCTCGAGTGGACCTCGGAGGCCATCAGTATCTGGCACTGGCCGCGACAGAGCATCCCGGACGACATCATCGCCAAGAATCCGGATCCGTCCGGCTGGGGCTTGCCGTCTGCGCTGTTTGGGACGTCGACTTGTGATGTCGATACGTACTTTAAGGATATGAGTATTGTGATTCAGACGGTATGTTTTGCCCCAAGCTGTGTAGGTATCTTACAAGTTACGCTGACCTTGAGATGTAGAACTTCTGCGGTGATTATGCTGCCAACATCTGGGGCCAGGACGGAGATACCTGTAACCAGCGGGCGCCGACGTGCGTTGAGTATGTGGCGAACAATCCTACCGCATTCGCAAACGCGTAAGTCATCGAACCCTACTCAAATATTCTCCCTGGAACCTGCCTGACGAGAAGCGAAAAACCAGGTACTGGGAAGTCAACTACATCGACGTCTACGAACAAGGCCTCGCCACAAACACCACCGCCAGCCCGTCCGAACCGACAACAACGACGACGGTCCAGACCACGTCGACAATCTACACCACGGTTCCGAACCCTGCCACCATAGTGACGAGCTTCACGCAAAACGGTACCGTCATCGTGTCTACCGCCACAGTGCAGTCCTCCCAGGTCTCGTCCGTCGTCCTGTCCACCGTCGTGGGACCGACCGCCACGGCACCCCCAAGCCCCTCGACGGACCCCGTAGTCCCAGGGCGCGAGCCGGCGACAATTGGGGAGTATGCGTACCTCGGCTGCTTCGGCTCCGGGACCGGGTTCCAGAGCTTCTTGCTCAAGGCCTCGGCGGCGGATATGACGCTGGGCAAGTGTATTGATCTCTGCAGGCCTGGGAAATACGCCGGTGTCCGCGAAAGGTAACGTTCTGGTCCCATCTCCATCTTATATGAAAAATCTTTCCCTCACTAACACATTTCCTCCCAGTGAATGCTTCTGCGCAGACGACCTCGACCCAGACACCAGAGCAACAACAGACCGCGCCCTCTGCAACAGCCCCTGCCCGGGAAACAGCACCCAACTCTGCGGCGGCACCACAAGCACCCCAGCCACAAAGCCAAAGCGAGACACCCTCCCAGCATCCTTCTCCTCGAATCCCCACCGCCGTCTCATGCACCTCCACCTCCACCGCCGCGCCGCGCCCTCAACCTACCTCTTGTCGGTCTACGCCCGCCTCACAGACGAAGTACCCCCCAATGCCCCTCCTCTCGGCGATCCGGAACCCCATTCCCCTTCCACATCGACGCTCGTGACGACGGTGACCTACACCACCATCTGCTCGACCGACGCGGCGCGCCTGACGCCCGCCGAGCACTGTACCACGATTCTGGTGCCGGGTTGCAACAAGTACTGCGGCGGCGGCGGCGACGGGATGCAGCCCGCGGCGGTGAGCGTGCCGATGACGACGACGGTGGCTTCGTGCGCTGGATGTGGTGCCGACGGCGCGGATCGGGTTACGCTTACGGTGCCGTTTTTGGTGGTTGCGGTGCCGGGTACCGGGGCCGGGGCCGGGGCGGGGACGGCGACGACGGGGTACTGGCCTACTGGATCGGTGACTGGTGCGGCGGCGACCCCGCCTGCGACCGGGAGACCCACTCCGTCCATGGTGTCTGTTAGTGCCGGGGCGTCCGTAGCGGAGGTGAATTTTGGGTGGGCAGTTGGGTTGGGGGTTGCAATTGCGGTTGTACGATTTGCGTTGATGTTTTTCTGATGAAGGGATAATTGTGTCGAAGGGGCTGGTTCCCGGTGCATATTGGCGGCGCATTTGGTCTCTCTTTCTTTTTCTATCTTTCTGCTTGGTTCCCTTGGTTGCTCTTCTCTCCAACCACACATTCATTAGCATAGACATCGCCATGATACCACACCAGCGCAACGGGCGCATCGCCTTACTACATTATATGTAGTAGTTGTTGTTATAGTTACACAAAAATTTCATGATTCCAAGTCACTATCTTACTCTTTATTTTATTACAAGTCCACCACTTCTACCGGATTTCCCAGCCGTCCCGTGTTGCCGTACATTTGCGCGGCGTTGACCATGAGACTGCTGGTGTTGCCGCCGGGCCCGACCATGAGCCACTTCCAGACGACGCCGTGGATGCCGTAGCCCAGGACGGCGAGGGCGTCGCGCCAGCCGGCGTGGGGGAAGAGGTCACGGAAGAGGCCACGAGGCGGGCGGGACATGAGGGCCTCGTAGGCGCGCTGGCAGTCGTCAAAGTGGACGGTCTGGCGACCGTGACCCCAGTGGACGTGGCCGAAGACGTGGAGTTTGGGGCGGACGCGCCAGACTTCTTGGAGGAGGGCTGGGCAGCCTAGATTTAGGTCCAGGTGGGTTTTCTTGTGACGTGTGTTAGATGAGGAAGTTTTTCGAAGGTGGAGTGGATGAGATGAAGCGAAAGGAGATAATATGAGATGTGATGAGACCTACTGGTGGTGTGTGAGTGATCAAAATGTCAGTGTCAATTGGTACCGTGTTAGTCCAGGGCGGTAATGAACGATCATACTGGAAAGCCATCTCGGAGCCGCCGCAGGTCGGGATATCAGGGGCGCCGTAGATTTTCAAATGACGGCCGCCCTTAAATTCGAGCGTGACGGCATCGCGGATGAGATAGCGGATGCCCTTGAAGTCAAGGCTCTTGCCGCGGTCCTCAGGCAGACGCGCGCTGGGGTCGAAGAAGCTGTCGTGGTTGCCGCAGACGAGGATCTTGTGCTGGTGAGGTTGAGCGGCAAGCCAGTCGAGCTGGGCCTGAATGTCGGCGACGGTGCCGGCGTTGGTGAGGTCGCCGGCGTGGATGAGGAGGTCGCCGGGGGGGATGTCGACGTCGGTGCGGTCGTGGGTGTCGGAGAGGCAGACGATGCGGATGGCGGGCTTGTCGCGGGGCGGTGTGAAGGGGCGGCCGCGGAGGAAGAGGATGATGCTGTAGATGATTGTGACGAGGAGGTTGAGAGGTGAGAGGAGGAGGGCGTCGATGAGGGTTAGGGGTTCCCAGTCGTTTTTGCGGCGGAGGCCGAGGGCTGTGAGGAAAGTCATTTGGAGGTTGTGTGTCCGTCGGTGTCCCTGTTCGTGGGGGCTTTCGGATGGGGGGACGCAGGGGTTATACGACTTCCATGTGAGCTGCTGTGCAAGGTGAGTGAGATTGGTGATATGAAGTGAGGTGAGATACGGTGAGATGAGGTGGGTGAGGTGAGGTGAGGTGAGGTGAAGTGGTGTTGAGGTTGGCCGGACGGATCTTCACATGGGGCAGAGAGAGCTCCAAGCAGCTGCCCGAGCTGAAACCCCACCGATGACAGCACCAGCTAGCACTCGTGCAATCCAATGACAATCCACTGGTCAAAAGTCAATCAATCAGTGCATATCGCCATGTCCACAGTGAGGTGGGCCGGCCGGCACCTGGCACGGCGGCGGTTCAGCTATGCTGGGGGGCCAGAGGGGAGGGGGGGTGGTGGAGGGGGAGGCCGGGGCAGCACGAGCCACGCACCACCGTTGTCACTGCTACGGCGCAACAAGCCTACGAAGTACAACACTACTGGACATTTCCCAGCGACACGGCAGCGCCAATCCTTGTTTGGCGTAGCGGTGATGGGATCGACTGGTGGGCACTACAAGTAGGAATTTCGTAGAGGCATTGAGGGGCTGGAGCTTGTTCCCTGAAAATGAGCTCCCCCGCCCAAGTCGGGGCCCTGCGCGGTGACGTGACGGTTCTCTCAATCCCGCCAGCCAAATGCCCAAGCTCCTCTCTCTCCTTCTGTTCATCTAAAAAACCTGCCAAGCGAGACATCACCGTCATTACTTTCAGCCACTTGGCTACATTTTCGCACTTGGCCTTAAGACCATCGCGAATCCTGCGACCTTCTCTCTTATCGTGAATCCGTCACCCTCAAGCATTTGGATATCTCCCATATCTTTTCTCAAAAGTGCATCCCATTTCTACGAATACCAACCCTACGCAATCCAAACTTCCTAATCTGCACACACGACATCCGTGCTCGAGCTCCCGACGACTGATCTTTTGGGACGAACGCCCGGCCCACAGCAGCCATGGCGACTCTTCGCGACCTTTACAGCGATGAGAAGACCAAGGGTCTAGACACCAACTTTGGCGTTGACTATGTCATCAACTACAAGATCCCGCAAGAGGGTGAGGCCCCCTTTGCCCCTGCGTCTTTCTACAAAAACTGACCCATTCCTCGTTCAGACCGCGCCAGCGCCGAAGCTTCTTTCGTTCAGCTCATCGAAGCCTTGACCCACGTCGGCCTGACCACCGAGGTCCGAAGGGGCGACAAGAGCTCCGTCCTCGTCTTCATCAAGATCGCCGACAAGTTCCTCGCCGACCAAGTCTACCGATCCAGACTGCAAGACTGGCTACAGGGCGCTCGAACCAACACCGCAGACAAGGACCTCTCCCAGGCCCTCCGCGATGAGCCCGTCTCCGACGCTGAGCGCCTGCGTCTCGTCTACCTGCTCATGGTGAAGCCCAAGAACGAGGGCGGAGCCGGCATCACCCCCGAGTCCGGCAAGTGGAAGCATGTCGCCAGCATCTTCCCCCTCCACAACCACTCCTTCAACCGCCAGTGGATCAAGAGAGTGAGCACAAAGGGGCAGACGGACGAGAATGACCTCGACGAGATTCGCGATAAGTTCGGCGAGAGCGTCGCCTTCTACTTTGCCTTTATGCAGACCTACTTCAAGTTCCTCGTTGTTCCCGCCGCCGTCGGCTTTGGCGCTTGGATGTTCCTTGGCCAGTTCTCCTGGCTCTATGCTCTCGTCAGTTGCCTGTGGTCCGTTATCTTCTTCGAGTTCTGGAAGCAGAGAGAAGTCGACCTCGCCGTGCAGTGGGGCGTCCGCGGCGTCTCCAACATCCAGCACCCTCGGCCGCAGTTCGAGTTTGAGCGCCAGGCCGAGGACCCCATTACCGGGGAGCCCGTTAAGATTTACTCGCCCATCAAGCGCCTGCAGACGCAGCTTCTCCAGATCCCGTTCGCGGCAGCGTGTATCGTGGTACTGGGAACGCTTATCGTTACCTGCAACTCGCTGGAAATCTTCATCAACGAGGTGTACAACGGACCTTTCCAATCCTACTTGGCCTTCCTCCCAACCGTCATTCTGGTGGTTATGACACCCACTTTCTCTACCGTACTTACAAAGTTTGCGACGAGACTGACCGAGATGGAAAACTACGAAACTATTGACGCACACCACGCGGCCTTGGTTCAGAAGGAGTTCGTTCTCAACTTCCTGACCTCCTACATGGCCCTGTTCTTCACCACTTTCGTTTACCTGCCCTTCGGCGACCACCTCACTCCTTACCTTGATTTCTGGCGAACCACTGCGCAGAAGATCACCCCCAAGGACGTCAACTTCCAGACCCAGGAGTTTTCCATCAACCCCGAAAGAATTAGCAAGCAGATGTTCTACTTCACCGTCACCGCCCAGGTCGTCAACTTTGCCACCGAGGTCATCGTGCCGTACGTCAAGCGTCAGGTGTTCCAGGAGGTCAGAGAGGTGCAGTCCAAGATGTCCAAGGAGGACAGCGCCGCCAAGATCAAGGACCAGCCTGAAGAGGCCGCCTTCTTGGAGCGTGTGAGGAACGAAGCCGAGCTTGAGACGTACGATGTTACCGGAGACTACAGAGAGATGGTCATTCAGTTCGGTTACCTCTCTCTCTTCTCCGTGGCCTGGCCTTTGACAGCTTGCTGCTTCCTCGTCAACAACTGGGTCGAGATGAGATCAGACGCTGTCAAGATTGCAATTAGCAGCAGGCGGCCAATTCCTTGGCGCGCCGACTCGATCGGGCCTTGGCTCAATGCCCTCGGCTTCTTGTCTTGGTTGGGTAGTATCACCAGCGCCTCGATTGTGTTCCTGTGCAGATCCGCTGGCAAGGGCGATGGACCTCGCGGCACCCCTGGAAGCATTCAGGCATGGGGCCTCCTCCTCAGCATCCTCCTCTCGGAGCACTTTTACTTTGGCGCTCAGTTCGTTGTTCGCCTCGTCATGAAGAAGCTGGATAGCCCGGGACTGCAGAGGGAGAAGAAGGAACGGTTCATGATGAAGAAGAGACTGCTTGAGGAGAACCTGGGCCAAGGTGTTTCGGACCAAGCTGCCACACCAGGTATCGAGAAGACGGAGATGATCACCATGCAGGCTCTTGAGGATGAGGCTCGCAGGATCTCGACTCAAGGCCACGGAGGCGCCGAGGAAGCGTAAGTTGTTGTTCTACCCTTGACGTTGAAGATTCAAACTGACACTTTGACAGATTCTGGCTTCGCCAACGCGGTATGGCCGAGACCATCCAGATTGGTCGCAATCTGATTTCTCAGGTAAGTCGCTGTATACTATGACCGCCACTGCCACCTTCTGACATGGGATCATCAGAGCATCTCCGGAAACACAACCAAGGCATAGAGGCCGTCATCAATAATTGATCAAAGGACGGGCCGGTGGGTAAGAAACAAAGTATACACACAACCCCTTATTGACGAGAATATGAGTTATGCCTATTCTGGCGTGTATTGCTAGCGAATATGTTTAATTGGGGTCTCTCGAAAAGCTACGGGTTATTTACTGTTTGTAATCGGGCGTTTGTTTCGGTCAAAATAAGAGTTAGCCAACCTCTTTGATGTTTGTTTCTTCGGTGAAGAAATATGGAGTAGCTGTGATGCGGTCGTCGGTGGCCACAAAGGGTGACCGACGAGGGGGTTGAGATAAGGTATGTTGTCAGGGCTGTCTACCTACCTGACCTTACTCAGTATTGCCTCATAATGAAAGGGCAGATGACCACTTAAAACAAACTGCGCACCGGGCGAGGCAGATCGGGAGGCTTAAACACCTGGGCGTCGACTTCAATGATCCAAATGCTTGTTAGGAGCCTCTTGACTCTAAGAGGTTACGTCGATGGGCTCATATTGAACTGCGCCTCTGCGCTAGCTATGCTGGACCTCGTGGCTGCAGCGTTCATCTGAAGAGCCTACCACAGTCTGTGCTGTGACCTAGGTACCAGTGCTACCTGCCTTAAGCTCCTTGCTTATTCAGTACTAGTACGTACCGACATTGTGGACTTGTTCGCTTACAACCACCTACCAAACGTCCCTCTTCCCTCAATACCTTACCAGCAAAACTCCGTCACGCCCGCGACATTCCTTTCGCTTGAGAAACACCAATCGCGGAGCGTGCTCTAGGAATGTGCCACGCCGATGAAGCCAAACGGGTCTGCCTGGGGGAGTTTGAAGGCTAGCCAGCGACAGCTCAGCAGCCCTACCTCGGATCCAAGACGCCAGAACGCCTCCTCCTCCACCTTTGGCGCTTCTCCTCTCCCCCCCCCCCCCCTCCTCCACGTTGGAACATGCAGCAGACATGTCGACACTCTTTTCATCGCCCGCCATGCCGATCTCCTCGCGAGACTAGCCTGATACCGGGGCGAGGTTCACCTGCATTCGCTTGCAAAGTTGGGCGCAACAGCACCGCCTTGCCTGGCATGCTTATCAACTTTCAAGACCTGAACTGGGACTGGAAAGTGCGGCGGCGTTCCGAGAAGCAAGCCACGCCCGTTGGCTACCGGTCCTCTTGTGCCCTCGCTCTCTCGTTCTGTCTCTCGAGTGACAGATGGACGGAATGGACGGACGGCCTAGAGGTGCGCCTCGTGTCTCGGGAGAGAAAGAGAGGCCAGTCTGACATGCGGTGCGCCCTGCATCTGCCTACCTTGCCCGCCAGCCGCCAATCTCCAATCCCCGTCCCGTCCTTGTGTGCCATACCTTGCCCATCTATCCTGCGGCCTGGAGCTGGCCCTGTTTTTTTGTGGTGGTGACTCTGAGGGAAGCCGACTAATTGATCTGCTCAGCTCAGCTTAGTAGCTTTTCTACAGCCTTGTCCTATCCTGACCTGCCGTCCTCTTTGCATTTCCTTTCTCTTCCTCCTTTCTCTTTCTCTTACCTTTTCTGCCAAGATCTTTCCTCAAAAGCTTGTGTGATTGTGAACCCCCAAACAATACTTGGCGATTGCGCAAGTTCGGATTCAAACCTGCGATTCGGATGACC